AACGGTGAAAGATAGCACTTCTGCTTGAACAGAAACGGGCTAGGCCAATGACGCGATAGATTTCCAGCCTCAATTCGAACTGTTTCAATGACCGAAGCCGCAATGTACCCTCAGATTTGTGTGAAAGAGTATATATCGTATAGAAGCGTCTTGGCCACCAAGTTAGGTGCCTTGGCGAACACAATGTGGTCAAGACAAGGACTGTTTCCCTTGAATCAACGCGTCAAGAATACCCTGGCTGATGCTTAAATCCACGGTATGGTTGATCTCAAACCAAGTCTCGCTGGGCGATGGCTAGCGGCGCCAACTTGCCTGACTTTGCCCGTTTCGAGCCATGTAAGCAATACGTAAGCGGGCTCACCGATCACTCGACAATGGAGACATGCCAAGAGAAAAAAAGGAAGAGGAGAAGAAAAGACAAAAAACCTAGGAAATAAAAGCAAAGCTGCCTTACTATCGGCTGTACATACTTTGTAGCAAGTATTGGATTGAAGTGTATGATCCCTGTCACCCCTCCTCCCCTTAATACCCCTATTGAATACTTAAGTTATCTTCGTAGAGCGACACCGCCATTATCTAGATCTTGTCCTCGTCTTCCTCACCCAACATCCAAGTGCATGATCTCCTCGCATCTCCCCTCGCATCAATCGGGACTGTTCATCCCGATCACCCGAAGAACAAGCGCGAAAACATTGACGTCATATCCATTTGGACTGTTGGAGCCGTTTCGGCGTCTCCGTTTCGGCGTCTCCGTGACTTTCGTCGTTGAGCGTGTGTCCAGCCGTCCTCGTCCACGCCCTCGTCCGTGCCAGGCCCCTTACTCGGAGCCCGCTTGATGGCGTTGATAGGGTTCTCACCCCCCGGGATCTTGTCGAGCACGCCCTCGGTTAGCTCAACCGTGGCTGGATCTTCGGTGGGGACTTTGACAGCGGCTGCATCCGGACCCGCGTCGCTCCCCTTCGTGTCTTGCGAATCGTCCACGCCGTGCACTGGAAGTGTCGTCTCCGCCTCGGCCTCGGTAGGCTCGGCATAATGGGTACACGACGGCGTCTCAGCAGCCGTGGTGGCCTTCACAATACCGGCGGTCTTCCTAGCTGTGTCATAAGCCGAAATCGGCTCATTATCGTCGTCCTCTGATACGATGGACGAATCTTGCCGGGTGTTTATGGCTGCGGCGACCTGCAACGTATTCATGAGAGAAACATCTGGCAAAGCCGATGCAAGTCCAGTACTAGCGAATTCTTTTGAGACGATGTCGTAGGTGATGTAGCGTTTCAACTAATACCGGGGTCAGCAAGAGTCTTGTTAGCAAGCACGGGGTTCTCCTTACTGATGCCAGTCTCACACCAAGCCAAAGACATCTCTCGGCGCGCGGTGCAGTGTGGGATGGAAGTTCCAGAAAGCGGTCGTCCTCGTCCACTACCTGCCTCTCGAAGAAGTGGGACGAATAGTAGTGTTGATCAGACCACTTAAAACCTCGCATCAGGAGTCCTCTGGCAGCTGGCGACCTGTTCCAGACTGCTGTTGAGGAAAGTCCCTGGATTCGACTCTGGCATCAACCACTCCAGATCTGTGTATCGAATTTAACGACAAAACCAGTTTCGACCATGGAACGTAGTTTTCAAGGTAGACAAGGGCTCCCGGAACATATGACAGACTCCAGAGGAACGCTAACGTCAAGTGCAGGAACGGTAGGATGTTTCTATCTCTAACCTTGCCGGCCACAATTGAGACGCAAGTATGCCAAACAGGAAGAATATATAAAGTCACCTCATCAGAAGAGCTAAACTTGACCCCGAGTCGATCGCTGGTTGGTGGAACAGCCTGGCAAAATCCCGGTTTGATGGGTCCATTTTCTGTCCAGAACTTCCACTGAATCCTGGCTTTCATCGTAGGATCCTCAATCTGCACGGCGTCCATGGGCAAGTCCGTTTGTCCTTCGGTGTGGCTTTGCTTTATCCGCTCGGAATTTGCACAGAAGGCTTTCCATAAGAAGTTCTCGTCAGATCCAAAATCTAGCACCATGGCAATAAGAGATGATGCCACCTCTGCTCCATGGACTTTGAAGTTGGATCCCGTCCTGTCGATAGTGCCGTCGAGTTCAGACACAAACTGGGTAATGTGTCCGCAGTAGTCATGGATGGAGCCGTGTGTGAAGGGAATGCCTGCCGCCCTGACCAAGGAAGTTTCCATTTTCGGGTAATTTTGATTAATCACCTCGAAGTTGTCCAGGAATGGAGTAAACAGAAGCATGATGGAGTCACGAGCATTCACGAACGGGACACCACTGATGAGAGCCTTGGTGTAGTAAAAAAGTTGACGGACGACGTTGGGCCGCGCTAGAATCGCCAAATGATGCTGCATACTCCCTGTGGTCGGCGAGAGGTCAGCAGCACGATTATACCACATCCGAGCGACGTTGGACCAGTTCTCACGGTCTCGCATATCGGCTTCTTCGATTGCCATTCGATAGCGAGCGAGATCTCCCAAGCATTCGATCCATGTCTCATAGAAAGTCGGTACTGACTCCATCAGCAGGCCCATTATTTGATACGCAAGGTGCACAAAGCTGAGTATATGTTCATGCGAGTGAGGTAAACGATGACGTAGCAACTCAAGGAAAGAATGAATACCATGTCTCCACAATCGAGCAGGCATAGTATACTTTGTTAGGAGACTCCGGAGTACAGGAGACGCCGTGGGATGTTGACTAGCCAAGAAGAAATCGTGATGCGCATGTAAGAGTGTCCGGTGCAGTGCTATCAGTGCCTGCCACTGTTCGTTGGAAAGCTTAGTTGTCGTTTGAGACTGTTGTTGGCATATTTCGACGCATTTCTTCTCGACCATGACGAGGCCGGCATATATGCCTTTGACCTCATTGACTAGTTGTTCTTGCGAGATTGGCCTGGTCCCGGGCTGCAGAAACATCTTGGGATCCTCCACAGATGGACCTTCGGACAGCCATAGAGAGGGACGTACAACATTCGATGGCTGATGACCAGGTGGCTGTTCATGTCCCAAGCCCACCCGCTGAGATTCGTTGCCGGGTTCTTGCTTCACATATGGTGGCTGTTCATGTCCCAAGCCCACCCGCTGAGATTCGTTGCTGGGTTCTTGCTTCACATATGGTGGCTGAAATGCACTTGCATCCACATTGGCAGTTTCGAAAGTCACATAATCATTTTGTGGCGGCTGTGGGTGCCTTTCATCTTTGTTGCCACTATAACAAAAGTCAGATACGACACGAGCAAAACTTGCAGAGGAGGGGCCCGGAAAGTATGTACCGGTATTGCGGGCATCACCATGCGGCCACTCCCTCTGATTTCATCTTGGTCAGGACGAAGGCTTGAAATTGTTTGTCAATCTTCAACGTGAGGCAGGCGAAGATGCCTCTTCTTGTGTGTTTTTGTTGATCGATGGAAGCCACCTATATTGTCAAATGGGTGAGTAACAGCAAAGTCAGGGCCGTGCGGACTTAGCCATTAAGTATCACAAGTGACTCACTTCGGAGTGCTCGCGAACCATGAGGCAACCACTAGCCCCCATGTGGCTTCGAAGTGGGCTGTGTATCAGACCTGGGGAGCCTCCTTTACGGCCACCTGTATCCACGGAAGTCTACCTCCGTGTATAGATACGAAAGTCATGTGGTACCTGGTCGACAGTTAATACTGGCGGCCACGTCTGCAGGCCAGTGGATGCACCTGCGGACCAAATAACATTTAATATTAGTCGGAATGGCGCGATTTGAAGTAAACTGGACTAGGCTGTGCCCGGCTGTATTGGGCTGAACCGCACTACGGCGAGGTAACTCCTAGTAGGAGGGCAAGGTAGTATTGGTAGCCACGGCTACAGACATTGTTTCAGAGCCTATGCCGCCCAGTGCCAGGACTACTTTTGGGCGATATCCAGGTCGTCGGGCACATCAATTGGCCCTCAGGCGTGGTCGCCAACACGGTCATCGTTGACCGGCCTGCTAACCGGTGAAGCTCGAGAGCGGTATCAGGGACGTGGTGGCCACAGGTTGGCGGTCTCTGACCTGATTTGCGCTGGCTTCGGCTAGCCTATGACAAGTCTCTCCTCTCTGAGGGTGTTGTTGCCTGCGCAATTCGTGGCTCTCAAATGTAACGGGCTGATCATTGCGTCCGGATTCAGCAATGTGACGCCTGATCAGCCCTGCGGGCACCTGATTGCTAGCTGAGGTGTCAGCCAACGATTTGTCTTTGTATGCTTAAGAGGTGGCTGGGTCGCGACGTCTGATACCAGGCAACTGTCCTCGCTGATCCCATTCGAACAGTCCAATCTTTTGGCGTTGACGGTACTTAATCGCAAATCCTGAGACACCCTCGCGTAAAGAGCTAGGCTGCACCCCCAATGACTTCTGCTGTACGTCACGTCACCCGAGGCATAACCAAAGTTGACTAGATGTGACATAAGAAGTCGTAAAAGTTAACCGCTCGCAGGAAATACTCCAGGAAAAGCGTGAAACGTTTTGAACTGATCATTAGCTGAGGAGAAGGTTTCACTGCGAGGACATTTACACTCATTGATTGGCTGGCAATAGCTTCATTTGCCACCCATAGTCCAAAACTTGGTACAACAACCTTTAAATTGCTTCAAGATTTACCTGCTGGGAGGGCGTCGTAGAGATCTAACATATATCGATGCGACAAAATCCAGACTGGACAGGCTCCCTCTGTATATTTCTCGTACTTACAGGTCATTTGGCGGCAAGTTCAACATCAAATCAACTCCCCACAGATCCAAGCGTACTGAGCCGACACGAAGTCAGGGCGACTTTTCCGATCCAGGACCCTCTACAGACTTATACCCATGAACCCCGTACCACTGTGGACCAAAAGGGTATGACTAGAGCACAACACGAGAGGACTAAAGTTCTCGAAGCCGCTTTGAAAGAAAAGGTGCAGCAAATTGAAGAATGTCGAAGAGAATTGCGCCAGAAAGATAGGGAGAATGCCAGTTTGCAGTAAAGTGTCGACAAGATGCTCAAGAAACTTCCAGAACAAGATAAAGGAGAGTTCAAGCACATTAACCAAGGCAATATTATCCTACGGCTTAGAGATCACGAGAAGCTTCCATGGAAGTTGGTGGAATCAAGGTTCGCGACTGAGACAGGACTGCATAGAGCCTGGATGTCCTTGGCGCACGAATACTATTCGATTCGCAACCAAAGTCAGCATGCTTCAATGCCAGAGGATGCACAGGTTTGCTTGTCACAACATAACTGCTGCACCACACAGGCACGCTGACGCCTACATCAGGGATCTCCAATGCTTTGGGCTTTGCCACCGCAATTGTTCTGGGCTATGACGGGCCAAAGAAAGGAAGAGGGTGCAAGCTGGTCAGAAATCACTAAGTTCATGCACGAAGTTGGTGAGAAAGGGAGCGGATCTGGGATTCGTTCGAGATTTATGGCTACTCAAACATACTTCGGCATGTCGGTTGGCAAGCTGCGTGGGGATGAGCCATGGCTGCTTGAGATACTGTCAACACCTTGGCTCCTGTGGCTGAAGGACCGTGAAGAGATTTGGGCAGACCAATTCCCATGGCTAGCTGTGGCATGGGATGCCACCTCAAGCGCCGCAGATGACGGTTCGGACCGGTGGCGTGCTTGGCGGATATACAACAATGACTGGCTTTGGCAGTGGTCAATCTGGGGCAAGACCGAGATGTCCCAGGACCTCGCTGATGATTGGCTAACAAAGCTAATCCAGTATGAAGCGGACCCCATGTTCAAACAACCTGCTGGAGATCAAGTGCGGAGGGATTGGCTTCTTGTTTTCCACGCTTTAGGTGTCCCTTGGTCGCATAGAAGCCACTTCTTCGCAGATAGGGCGGGCTTGCGCCGCGACTCAAATCAGCTTATGAAGACCATGACGGGCACTCCCAGCAAAATGACCACAACGCTGGAGCAACATGATCTGGAGCAGCTTTTGCAGCTCGGGGGCAAAAGAACAGGAAAAAAGAAACCCATCTACGAAGAACTCGGGCTGAAGTACGGGCTCACTCACAGGCAACTACACAGTATCTACACAAAAGAGAAAAAGGAACGGGTGCGTAGGCACGAGAACGATCCGCCCTCGGTGCAGGTGAATGCGTCTCCTACGATGGAGAACAGTCCCGAGCAGGACGAAGCCAAGACAGTCCTACACGAGGACAGCATACGGGATCCTG